GGAGAGCTGTTTGGTTTCTGGTTTATGTGACTGGGTGGCTAGTAGTGACATTCTCTGAGATAGGTATAGAGGAAAGGAGAACAGGACCGAGGAGAAGCTGTCTTTGGCTTTGGCCAGATTTCGTCTGAGTTATCTGTTGTGTCTGCCCAAGTAGAGGCATGCTAGGTAGGTAGTTGGACAAATAGGAGTCAGAAGCTCTGCAGAGGTGGGTGGGTAGAGATAGCACATTCATTCACAAATGTTTATTGAGTGCTGGACACTGTTCTAGGTACAGGGGTCTAACGGAGGGAGCTAGGCCCATTCAGATGGGTGGGGAATCATCAAGGAAATAGAGAGTGTGACTGTGGGGAGAAGGAAGTGATCGGGGAATGACTGAGGAGGTAAGTGACCTCAATTATGAGATGAGTCATCCCTGGAAATATCAGAGGGAAGAAGTGTTCTGAGCAAAGAGAAGAGCAAGTGCAGAGGCCCTGAGACAGGTATGAGCAAGCACATTTGAGGAATTGTAAGACCTGTGTGGCTCTAGCATGGTGTCCAATAGGGAGGGGCGGGCCCTGAAAGGAGGTTGGAGAGGCAAGGGCTGAGTAGATCAGTGTTAGGTCCCCGGGAAGTTGGGTTTATTCTGAGTGCAATGTTCAGTCATAGAAAATTGAAGACACGGGATTGGGTGAGATCACTCAGAGAGAATGTGGAGTGTAAAGGGGAGAGGACTCCAATATTTAATTGAAGGGCAGGAGAAGGGGAGACTTCTCAAAGGAGACAGAGGAAACAAACAGAAAAGTAGAAGAGAAGACAGTAAAGAAGTGTGAGGAAAGAGGACTTTAAAGGTAGAATGACGGGCCGGCCTGGTGGCGCACTGCTATAGTGCGCTGCTTGGGAAGCGCGGCAGCGCTCCCGCCGAGGGTTCGGATCCCACATACAGACCGGCCGCTCACTGGCTGAGCGAGGTGCGGGGGCAACACCAAGGGTTGTGATCCTGTTGCCGGTCCCGGTCCGGTACGGGCGCGGCACTGAGGGTTGCGATCCGTTGCCGGTCACGAAAAAAGACAAAAAGGAAAAATAAAATAAAATAAAGGTAGAATGACTTATTAAGTGGCAGATGATGGAGGAATGGAAGGAAGAGCAAGAGAGAAAGGAAGGATTGAAAATGTGGCCTGTGAATAAAAGCAGGAAGATCATTGCTGACCTTGGAGAAAGCAGTTCTCTTAACTACTCCCTCCCTTTTCCCACATCCTGTCGGCTCCAGAGTGGTGAGGGAAATAATCCATATTGCAGTGGACCAAGGTGCTGGCTCTAAGAAGCAGGGATGGGTGGTTTTTGGCTGAGAGGAGGATGACAGAGGAGGGAAGAGGAAGAAAATCAAGTTTCCAGGAAGCACTGGTGGCTGCCCTAGGTGGCTACCAGTGTATGATAGGAGAGAACCATTCCTGTCTTCAACAGCCACATCTATTTTTTTTGTTTGTTTGTTTAGGGGTTTTCTTGGCGGTTGGACAGAATGGGGATCCAAACAGCAACATCTATTTGTTAACTCAGAGTGGAAGAGTATAGGTGTTGTCATTTTCTCGGAAAGTTTGACCACAAAGCACACTGGGATTTCAGCAGTAGGTGGTTGAAGAAGGAGGAAGTGGAGACTGGGTGAGGGACTGTTGTCCTGCAAGGCTAGTGTCGGGGGTGGAGGGGTCAGGATGCTGATTAGTTGTCTACAAGTTATGGCCAGCCGCAGCTTGATTCAGAGCAGCACTGATATCCTGGAGCCTCTCTCCCAGAGCCAAAGATAGCAAGTGGCACCTGGGGGTGGAAGCCTCCCGGTTAGGGAGCTGGCACAGGCCAGGGTGGGAGTCAGGCCAGCCGGGTGCCTTGGTGGAAGGCTGACTTGGTGAGCATGATACTCTCCATTAGATTACAAGCATGTGATCACATTATCTCCCAGAATTGCATACTCCTGGAACCCTGCACACAGCTGAGACCATTCAGTGGAACAGCAGGAACTTCTGAGCTAAAGTACCTGGAAGTACCAGATATGCTGAGAACAAGCTCACATATTTATATATGGCAGCCAGAGTTGTTTTAATTTATAGCACCTTCTGTGTTTGTTCTTACATAACTTTTAATCTGTGCAGGCTGTTTTCCCATCTCTGTTGTAAATTCCTGGAGCTTAGGCTCCACAGCTTACTATCTTTGCCTTCCCCTACAGTGCCCCACGCATATCAGGCACTCCTGCAAATGCTGAAGTCTTAAAAATCTGCCAGGGACACCACATTCCACAGTCCCCATCCCTGCCTACATCATTCCTGTTAAAATTTGTGAGTAGTTGAGAAAACGGCCCAGTGTTTCCTTTGGCTAAAAGCAGTCAGTATTGCAAAATAGAATTGTTACTGTGGAACTTGTCTACAGCTGTTTGCATGTGGATATTGAAAGAGGGAGTGGTAGCTTTTATAATTATTAGGGCAAAGAAGGATTCTATCTCTAATCTGGGACAACCAGCTGACTCATCAAATGCCTTGACCCCTTAGGTTTCCATCTTCCCTCTTAGGAAAATGGAAAACGGAGCTCCCAGGTTTAGACAGCCCAGACCTGGCAATGTGGAACAAAAGAAAATAATAGAAAAGAAGAAGAATCCAAGAAATATTAGCAGCTTGTTTTTATTTTCTTTGATCCATTAAATGGGTATGAATTTACCTTCTTCAAAGGAAACTTTTCAAACAATGGGTTTTTATAAAGGGTCCATTTTAAGCATGGTTCCCTTTCCCCCTTCCACCCCTAGGTGGCAGTAAGAAGCCAAAGAACCTACTTGAAAATAAAGCAAATGTCCTTCAGTTGTAAGGGCCAAGGGCCCTGTTCTTCATTTGGGTCCTAGGATTATGTATTGCTTACCTCTGCCCCACAGTTCCCTTTGTTGGGCATTCCTAAGTTTTTTTTTTTTTTTTTTCTTTCTTTCTTTCTTTTTTTCCTTTTTTTTTTTTGTCTTTTTTCGTGACCAGCAATGGATCGCAACCCTCAGTGTCGCGCCCGTACCGGACCGGGACCAGCTACGGGATCGCAACCCTCGGTGTTGCTCCCGCACCTCGCTCAGCCAGTGAGCGGCCGGTCTGTATGTGGGATCCGAACCCTCGGCGGGAGCGCCGCCGCACTTCTCAAGCGGCGCCACCGGGCTGGCCCCTAAGTTTTTTTTTTTTTTTTTTTTTTTTCAAGCCAGTTTAGGTACCCATATATGGATTTAAAGAAATACTGACTCAGCTAGGATTTATAGAACACTGTGCAGTCAGCTTTAACAGTTAAAAATAAAATGTTTGGATCCCCATTTTGGCCAGCTGCCAAAAACCAAAAAAAAAAAAAAAAAGAAAAGAAAAAAAATTTTTTTGACGTGTTAAGAAAAGGAATGGGAACATCAGAATTGGAGTTTGAGACTGAGAAAATGGTCCTCACTGATGTCCATCGGGTAGTCTGCTGCTGAGAGCTGGTGCACTTGGAGTTGCCTCTAGCAGGACACCGAAGTCGGAATACTCCTGCAGTCGGGCTTGGGCAAGTGTGGTGTGTCAGTGTGGCCATTCTCTGCAGCCAGAGGAAACATCACAGAGCACTGTGTGCCACTCTCTGATTCCTCTGAAATCTATTTAAAGATAATAATTAGAGCTATTATTTGGAACATTTTTTAATAGCACACAGTAGATTCTTAGGGTTAGTGGGTGGGAGGGATGATATTGGGAGTGGGAGATGAAGGACAAAAATGTAATAAAAGTAAAAATAAGAAAGGAACAAAATGTTTAGAGGCTGAACTCGGGCGCCTCCTCTGGTCAGTGGAGGAGTTGGTTCCTGACGGCTGAAAACAAGGCTGGGGAAATAGTGGAAAGATACCACCTCTCCTCCCCATCACCGCTGTCATGTTCTCATCATGAAATTCCTGCCCCAAACTCTCAGGGTACTTATTGCTATGCTGCCCTTACTCTATAGGGTACCTATGTCCCATGTCCTAGAAGACTGGAATCCCATGAAGAACAGGAACCACCTTGTCTTTATATTCTCCACAGTACTTGTGTCTGGAAAAAGGTAGACTCTTAATAAGTCTAGTTGAGTGAATCTAGTTGAGAAAATGAGGAAGTAGAGAATAATGGTGCCAGACCAGACATGATTGTATTCAAATCAGTGGTCTTGTAAGAAGTGGTGAGGTTTGGGCCGGCCCGGTGGTGCACTGCTACAGTGCGCTGCTTGGGAGCGTGGCGGCGCTCCCGCCGAGGGTTCGGATCCCACATACAGACCGGTTCCCGCTCACTGGCTGAGCAAGGGGCGGGTGCAGCACTGAGGGTTGCGATCCCGTTGCTGTCCCGGTCCGGTACGGGAGCGACACTGAGGGTTGCGGTCCGTTGCCGGACATGAAAAAAGACAAAAAAAAAAAAAGAAGTGGTGAGGTTTGTGAGAGTGGGGATTGGGAGCAGGACTTGGAAGATGGGGAGGAGAGTGGGACAAAAGCTGAAAGGCCTGTATGGCATGAGAGGAAGCAACCCAGCCTGGATAGAAAAGGTAGACCTGGGAAGGGCATGAAAATGGCCTGTGCAACCAGTTAGAGGCATGACACTCATGGTCAGCACCCACCATGACCTGAAAAAGGGACTGTTCTAGTCAGGGATCTGTCAGTTGAAAGCAACAGAAAACCAAGTTAAGCTGGCTTAGACACGAGAAGGAATTTATTGGTTCACATAAGTGGGAAGTCCAGGGGAATGGCTGGTCTCAGGTTCAGCTAGATTCAAGACTCCAGTGATATTCTCAAGAATCTGTATGTGTCATCTGGCTCTTTTTCATTGGTAGACACCAATTCTGACTGGCCAGGTCCAGAAATGGGGAGTGAGGCTCCTCTTCCGAGAAGGGAGAAGTGCAAACTGGGCAAGCAAAATCCACTGGAGACCTTTGCAAGGGTATAGCCCCTGGGTTCAGTCACTGTTACAAGCAGAGGGGACCTCATACATGGTGTTGTGTATTAAGTTACTCTTTTTGATGTTTTTCAGCATCTTCATGATACAGTGAAGAGGAATCTTGACAGTGCCACCTCCCCTCAGAATGGTGATCAACAGAATGGCTATGGAGATCTCTTTTCTGGGCATAAGAAGACCCGCCGGGAGGCCCCTCTGGGAGTAGCCATCTCTTCCAATGGACTGCCTCCAGCCTCCCCGCTTGGTCAGCCTGACAAGCCTCCTGGGGGAGATGCTCTACAGTCCAGCGGGAAGCACTCTCTGGGGCTAGACTCTATCAACAAAAAGTGTCTGGCAGACTCGAGCCTCCACTTGAATGGAGGCAGTAACCCCAGTGAGCCATTTCCTCTGAGCTTGAATAAAGAACTGAAGCAGGAACCTGTTGATGACCTGCCTTGCATGATCACTGGGGCTGGAGGCTCCATATCGCAAAGCAACCTCATGCCTGACCTCAACCTTAACGAGCAGGAGTGGAAGGAGCTCATCGAGGAGCTGAACAGGTCAGTGCCCGATGAAGACATGAAGGACCTGTTTAATGAGGACTTTGAAGAGAAGAAGGACCTAGAGTCTTCTGGTTCTGCCACACAAACCCCCTTGGCACAGGACATTAATATTAAGACTGAATTCTCTCCAGCAGCCTTTGAGCAAGAACAGTTAGGCTCTCCACAAGTGAGAGCCGGGTCTGCAGGACAGACCTTTCTGGGGCCTTCATCTGCCCCTCTGAGCACAGATTCCCCCAGCCTAGGGGGTTCTCAGACCCTGTTCCACACCTCTGGTCAGCGCAGGGCAGACAATCCCAGCCCAAATCTGATGCCGGCATCAGCCCAGGCCCAGAATGCACAAAGAGCCATTGCAAGTGTGGTGTTGCCTGGCCAGGGCCCAGGTGGGGCCTCAGAGCTGTCCTCTGCACACCAGCTCCAGCAGATTGCTGCCAAGCAGAAGCGTGAGCAGATGCTCCAGAACACACAGCAGGCTGCCCCGGCACCAGCCCCAGGCCAGATGTCCACATGGCAGCAGACAGGGCCCTCTCACAGTCCCTTAGATGTCCCTTACCCCATGGAAAAGCCTGCCAGCCCTCCTAGCTACAAGCAAGACTTCACTAACTCCAAATTGCTCATGATGCCTAGTGTGAACAAGAGTTCCCCTCGGCCTGGAGGCCCCTACCTCCAGCCCAGCCATGTGAACCTGCTGAGTCACCAGCCACCAAGTAACTTGAATCAGAACTCTGTGAATAATCCAGCATCAGTGCTGGACTACGGCAATACAAAACCCCTTTCTCATTACAAAGCGGACTGTGGGCAAGGCAGCCCTGGGTCTGGCCAGAGTAAGCCAGCCCTGATGGCTTATCTTCCTCAGCAACTGTCTCATCTGAGTAATGAGCAGAACCCTTTGTTTCTGATGAAACCAAAGCCAGGAAATATGCCCTTCCGATCACTGGTTCCACCTGGCCAGGTGAGTACGTAGCTTTGCTTTCTGTTATTCTGCTGTAGATACTCTAGTGAGGTTACGTGCTAAATTGGAAGGAAACTGGCTCTGAGGTAGTTACGGGAACAAAGGGAGCAGGAAGTGGCTGCTGTCATTCTTTGACACCCTTGGGAGTGAAAATTTATAAAATAAACCAGAGTTGATTCTTAATAAACAAAAATAGGGTGAGATTCCGTAGTATTTTAACTTGATTTTAACTACACAGACATTTGAAGAACAGCTGCATTTAGTCCAGTGTTTCTTTCGTGCTATAAAATTGAGTCATTTTTGTGGCTGTGTTTTGCAGGTAAAGATCACATTTAATGTGTTTCTTAGAGGCTTTGCTTTTTTTTAACCACTTTTCAGATCTCTTGTGTTCAAAATCCCTTAATTTTTGGTAAGTTTGTAACATTTTAGGTATGTGCTGCTTCCCAATACATCTAAACTCTGTGGTTAGTTACAGTGCTCAAGCCTAGCAGAATCAAATGGCTCCAGAGGGTAAAAAATGGCCCTTTTGATTCTCTTCTTCACTACTTTAAGTAAGCCTGCAGTGAATACTTTCGTATATCTTTGTGAATTTGTAGTACACTCTAAAATTTTAAAAATCAAAAGTTAAATAAAACAGTGCTAATATCATGAAGAAATTGACATACTCGTTGAGGGTACATAAATGAGCACACTGCTTTGGGAAAGCCATTGGGCATTATGTGTTTTTCGTAATCCATAAAAAGGTTCATAAGCATTGATTCATTATACCCCCTGCAAGTTGATCTAAAGAAGTAATCTAAAATAAAAAAGAATGTTATGTACAAGATATTCTTTGCATGATTATTTCTAATTGCCAAAAACTGAAAGCAAAACAAAACAAAACAAAAACAAAAACTGGAAGCAGTTTAAGCATCTATCAACAGGAAAATCCATTTGTAAATGTTGATACTTCCACTTATTTCAGCCATTAAAATGTTTCACAGCCATTAAACATGACTATAAGAAATGATGAGCACCACAGTACTAACTGTTGTCATTTGAGTAGCATGTTGGATCTTACAAAGCATTCTCAGTAGACCTTAAACTTCTGGTTTTGGGGTGAAGAAATTACACCATCACAGTCTAAGATTAGAATATTGTAAAGATGAAATATAGAAACAAATAAAAACTGGAAAGAAATTCAGAAAGGTGAACTTGTTTAAATAAAAATTACTTTTTGCCTTTTTCCTGTGCTGTTTTCCCCTTTTGTTCTAAATGTAAGAAATGATGTTGGGATAAAATTGTGGTAGCCTTTCACATGATTATCATTTTTGGTCCACATATTAACAGAATAACTGTTAAAGTTCTAATTGATACTCAATATTTTTGAGCACGTGTATCTGACAAATGCTAAGCAGTCTTTTCCCAGAAAAATGCTTGTACACAAGTGGATGGACATAAAATTTTAGGCAGTTCAAGGACAGTCCCAAACTCAAATTCATGCGCATGGGATGTGTTGTCTCCATTGACCAGAGCCCCTCAGAGTGCTCTTCTGTGGACCCCTCTGCACTCCAACATTCCAATAAGCCATTGTTTATAAGCCTTGATTGCTTACTGGAACTCTTGTGTGCAAATATGAGAGCTTAAATAATGCATAATGTAAAATCACCCCTTTGCCATGGTGAATCTTAGGAAGCAAAGCTAACACCTATTGAGTAATTGTTCATTGCTAGGTGTGTGTATGCCTGGGTGTCATTACTTTTGGTTTCCATCCCAGCCCTTTGGGATGGTTATTAGTAGAGGTCCGCAGGGAAGGCTCAGCTTCAAGAGAGCTCTCAGTGGGTAGAGCTCATCTGGTCTGATCATAGCTTAGAGACTTCATTGGTCCCACCTGACTAAATCCCCTTATCTGTACTGACAGGAGCAGAACACTTCCAGTGTCCCTGTGCCAGCCCAGGCCACCAGCGTTGGGACCCAGCCACCTGCTGTGTCCCTGGCCAGCACTCACAACAGCTCCCCCTATCTCAGCAGCCAGCAGCAGGCTGCTGTCATGAAGCAGCATCAGTTGCTTTTGGACCAACAGAAACAGAGGGAGCAGCAGCAAAAGCACTTGCAGCAACAGCAGTTTCTGCAAAGGCAACAGCATCTTCTGGCAGAACAGGTAAAAAAAAGATGGAAGAAAACTGTCCCCACTCCGCACCTTTGCCTGCATCTTAAATCACTGCAGGAATCGCAAGCTCCATTTGTGCACGTGGATTTGCACCAATATGTGTGCCTGGTGTTAGAGGAATTTGCTCTTTAAAAACCCCTTTCCAGGAGTGTGGCACTTATCAGACAGGGGTGGTGTAATGCAGGAGCTCCAGATCTGAGAGGGCACTCATGTAGTGTTCACCTGTTCTGAAGAAATCACCTGGAAGGAAGTCCAGCAGGTGGAGACATTGGTTTATTAGACTTACAAGAGGCAACGATGGTGGCGGGTAGATAAGAAGTCTGCTCTGCCATGGAGCACACACAGTAGTTATATAGTTAACAGATCAAAGTAAGAATGTAAACCATTTTCATGTACTTAGTGTCCTGCTTCTTCCAGCATCTTATTTATCTAAAGGGAATGTGCTTTTCCTTGGGTAACTGCCTTGGTCAGGGGCAACCTCCCCAGGAAGGAGGGAGGCAAAAACTCTGGTATGCAAGGAAGGGGGAAATAGGGCTATGTCCAGCACCTACCCAACAGGTGACCTGTGTCAGAAGCTGTCACTTAGTGGGTATTAATGAAGGCAGAAACTATGGCTAAAACAATGTGAAAGAGGCATTTTTCCGTGTTACTGGTCAGTAGCTTCTAAACCAGAGTCCACTTGTCCATCAGTCTGGAGTTTGTTATACACCAGAATGTGAAGAGGGCAGTGAAGGTGTCCCTGAAGGTCTAAGATTCTAGAATCAGGACAGCAGTTCACTCACTTGGTCACCAAGTGTAGTGTGCAGGCATTAAGGGTTACAAGTGAGAGTTCTTGAGATTTTTAAAAATTAATTTTTTTGTTTTAAATTTTTTTAGTAGCTGGCCAGCATAGGGATCAGAACCCATGACCTTGGCATTACCAGCACCTTGCTCTCCCAAGCGAGCTAATCAGCCAGTCCTGGGATTTTAAGTTATTACTTTAAGAAATAAGAACTAACTCCAGAAGAGTGAAGTTGATCGAGGATGATCACTGCCTCAATTCTGCCATTTTTAAAAAAACAATGGTTTTGGGGCTGGCCGGTTAGCTACGTTCATTAGAGTGCTGCCTTGTAACACCAAGGTCAAGGGTTTGGATCCCTGTACCAGCCAGCTACCAAAAAAAAAAAAAAAACCCAGTTTTATTGGGGTATAAGTCACATAATATATGATTCACCCATTTAAAATGTATGTACTAGTCTGTTTTCTGTTGCTTATAACAGAATACCTGGAACTGGGTAATTTATAAAGAAATGAAATTTATTTCTTAAAGTTTTTTTTTTTGTCTTTTTCCGTGTCCGGCAACGGATCGCAACCCTCAGTGTCGCCCCCGTACCGGACCGGGACCAGCAACGGGATTGCAACCCTCGGTGTTGCCCCCGCGCCTCGCTCAGCCAGTGAGCGGGAACCGGTCTGTATGTGGGATCCGAACCCTCGGCGGGAGCGCCGCCGCACTTCTCAAGCGGCGCACTAGCGCAGTGCGCCACCGGGCCGGCCCTATTTCTTAAAGTTTTAGAGGCTGGGAAGTCCAATGTCCAGGGGAACATCTGGTGAGGGCTGCCTTTTTTTTTTTTTTCCTTGCAGTTGGCCAGTACAGGGATCTGAACCCATGACTTTGGTATTATAAGGCTATACAATAAGCAACTGAGTTAACCGCCAGCCTTTCTCCTTGGTGGGGAGTCTCTGTAGAGTCCCAAGGGAGTGCCTGGTATCACATGGCGAGGGCTGAGCAAGAACTCACTAACATGCTTCTTCTCCTCCTTATTATAAAGCCATAAGTGCCACTCCTGTGATGCCCACTTATCCATTAATCCATGAATGTTTGTCCCCCCTAAAGCTAATGTGGAAGTTTGATCTCCAATGTGGTGATGTTGAAAAGGGGGGCCTTTGGGAGGTTATCACTGGATTAATGGATTAATGAGAAATTAATCCATTCATGAGGGCAAAAACCTCACGATCCAATAACCTCCCAAAGGCCTCCCTTTTCAGTATCACAACATTGGAGATCAAGCGTCCACATTAGCTTTAGAGGGAACAAACATTCAGACCATAGCAATATACAATTCAGTGGTTTTTAGTATATTCACAGAGTTGTGCAACCATCACCATAATTGACTTTAGAACATTTTCGTTGCCCCAAAACAAACCCCGTATCCATGAACAGTCATTTTCCCATCTACCCCCAACCTCTCGACCCTAGGCAACCACTAAATCCACTTTCTGTCTGTTTAGATTTGCCTATTCTAAACCTTTCATATTAATGTTTTCAAGATTTTTTTTTTTTTGTCCTTTTTGAGACCGGCCGCACCGCGCTCAGCCAGTGAGCGTACCGGCCATCCCTATATAGGATCCGAACCCGCGGCGGGAGCGCTGCTGCGCTCCCGGTGCCGCACTCTCCCGAGTGTGCCATGGGTTCAGCCCAATGTTTTCAAGATTTAACCATGTACTATGTATCAGAACTTCATTCCTCTTTATAACTAAATAATATTCCATTGTATGGATATATTATGTTTTATTTATTCATTCATCTGTTGGTGAACATTTGGGTTATTTCTACTTCTTGGCTGTTATGAATAATGCAGCTTTGAATGTTCACGTACAACTTTTTTTTTTTTTTCCTTTTTGTCTTTTTTACTGACCGGTAACGGGATCACAACCCTCAGTGTCGCGCCCGTACCGGGGACCGGCAACAGGATTGCAACCCTCAGTGTTGCACCTGCACCGCGCTCAACCAGTGAGCGGGAACCGGTCTCCACATGGGATCTGAACCCTCAGCGGGAGTGCCGCTGCGCTCCCAAGCGGCGCACTCTCCCGTGCGCCGCCGGGCCGGCCCCAGGTACAACTTTTTGTGTGGACATATGTTTTCAGTTGTCTTGGCTATATACTTATGAGTGGAATTCTAGGTCATAGGGTAATTATTATGTTTAATCTTTTGGGGAACTGCCAGACTGTTTTCTACAGCATCTACACCATTCACACCAGCAGTGTCTGAGGGTGCTGATTTCTTCACATCTCACCTGACTCTTGTAATTATCTGACTTACTGATTCTAGATGTCCTAGTGGGTGTGAAGTGGTATCTCATTGTGCTTTGATTTGCATTTCCCTGATCTGCCCTCCATTTTTTAAACTGATACAGGTACCTTTTTTTTATTTATTGCTCCTTAGATCTGCCTCATCCTTTGATTTTATGCTATTTATTTAAAACCTCCCAAATGAGATCACCATCATTATTTCCACAGGAGCCCATCTGTGAGTAACAAAGTGGTGCAATTTACTTTGCTCTGACCTAACTCTGCTTTTGTATTTATGTGGGTTTTGTTGTTTTATTTTGTTGTTCTTGGCATTTTCCAGGAGAAGCAGCAGTTTCAGCGTCATCTGACCCGCCCGCCACCCCAGTACCAAGACCCGACACAAAGCACCTTCTCACAACAGGTTGGACAGTTCACAGGTAAGGGGTGTCTGAAGTGATGGAGTGGGAACAAGGGGAAGGCAGGCACTGGACATAACAGTTGGTCCATTTGAGTTCATTGCCGATCATTGTCCAGTGCTGATTGAACTCTGCCTACCTCTGTGCTAGGTGCTAAGTGGATTTACTTGATCATGTAAACCTCAGACTGTCTAGGGAGCCCAGCTTTCTAGCTACCCTGTGGCAAGTAAGAGAAGAGGATCATAAAGGCAGACCACTGAGATACTTTTGCTGTGTCCCTGGCTATACAGTCTTCTGAAGAAAATCATTTCTAGTTGGAGGGCATCTTATCAACAGGAAATAGCTTCTGTAATTCTTAAGAAAGTTCTTTGCTTCTACTTTTATGTGTCTCTTCAAAAAGTGACCCTCTCCTATTTTCTAGATAAGGAGACACTTAATGCACTTGTGTGGCCTTTTGCTTTTTTTCTCTCCTCCTGTCTGCTAACAGCATCAGCAGTGGGCATTTGGCCAGAGTAGGGCAGGAAGCACACTGAGGTCTCAGTGGTCACCTCTGATATGTGCCAGGGGAACTTGCTTAGGCTGTTTTGAGAGCCCTCAGCTAATTGGAGTTCCAGTACCAGAGTGGCTAGCAGCCCTGCCCTAGCAAGAAATGAAGGGGAGCTGAACATGGGTGTTTACAGTATGCCTTTCACAGGATACTTCTTTTACACGGCAGACCACCTAATGCCTAGTTGTCTGACCCATGATCCGGGGATCCCTCACCCGGGAAACTTGCTGATACTGACAGATGCCTTTGTGGCTCTTGTCTGACCCATGTGCAGTTTATGCCGGCCTGACCATTGCTCTGGCGCTAAAAGCCCAGACTCGTGTTCTCTCCAGCATCCCAGGGAAAACCTGGCCTGGGGTAGCCCTTGGTTCTTCTGATGGAAGGCGCAAATTCAGTACTCCAGCACAAAAGGAAATAAGTTCAGATCCTGGGCAGGGAGAGTGCAATGAGTCGTGAGGGCAGTCTTTGGTCCCCAGGTCATGCAAAGCAGTAATGAAGAGTCAGGCAAAGAGAGAGATCACAAGCAAGAGTGTGGCAACTGGCAGTATATATAAGGGCATAGGGTGTCACTTTAAATTCTCGGGCAAATGCCTGAATGGTTCATTAAAACAATTGGCGGTGAGAGTCTGTGGCCTGTAGGACCTCCCCAGCTACCAGAGGACCATTCTGTTCACAGCCTCTCCTGGGGAGGCCACTTCCCTCACTGTGTTCTACCACACATGCCCTCTCCTTCATCCCACCACTCCCTGCTCCAGCAGGGTAGCCCCTCAGTATTAGCTGCCATATTTCCCCTGTCCTCCAGACAGTAAGGGAGAAGAGACCAGCTGGATCTTTTGCCAAACCGGGGAGAGAGACTGGAGTTTCCCTGTTTCAAGCCAGGCTCTTCACTGGGGTCAGCTGCATACCAGAGTCAGTCACTTGGCTGGATGTGAGGGTGACCACCTCAAGAGAGCTTTGAACCTCCACATTCTCGTTAATACCTTCACATCTCACCTTCCCTTTCTGGGGAGGGAATCCCTGGTTCCTACAGTATAACCTGGTCCTCAAGGCCTCTATCACAGCATGGGGTATGGCCATGCCATTTGGGTCCAGAGACACAGGCCTTGACCTTCCCCCTTTCTTCACCCTGGGACATGACATGTATGGTGTTTCCTATGGTAAAAGATGGAGGCAGTTCAGGAGTCTGCTAGTATACGTATCTGTGTACATACATTGTCCCCTCCCCCACCCCCACCCAGCCTCAGTCCCTGGCAGACATGGGCAGAGTCGGCGAGACTGCTGTCCACTGCTTTGCCCCAGCTACCTGTGGCTGAGTGTTCCCAGAGACCCCCTTAACCTCCCAAGTAATAAGAAGCTAAGTACTTTTTTTAAAAACAGGGGTGTGGGGGAGATTGGGGGCAAAAGCAGGGTGCCTAGTCTGCTAGGTGGGAGAGATGCCTCTTAAGTTCTTATTTCTGGCCACTGGCTTGAGCCATTTGGGTGTGGTATTCTACTTTTAATGTCTAGGCAGCAACTTTTGCTGTGTCGTTCCCGTTGCAGGCTATTACTCTTGAAATGCACAGAGATTTCAAGTGATAGACACAGTAAAATTTGGTCTCTCCCTGCCTTCCTAGTCTTGGAATATCTTAGAAGCCTATCTCTTTCCTTGTCAGTGACCCTCAAAGCGCCTCAAAGAAACTGACCACAGCTGCGTGTCCTGGAGGAGACCGGGTGGGGGTTTTTATATATGCTAACTGGGAATATGGGTTGAAGTCTGCAGGTGTCTCCCACGTTTCCTGCCTTCAGTCCCATCTGACATTGTCTGGGCTCTCTTCTTTTCCTCAACCCAATTTTTATTTACGAGCTAGTGGAGAGAGGAAGACGAAAAAGTACTGTACTAAGTTATAGCCAATCCCTGAACGATGACTCTCCTACCCCCAGAAACCAGTCGTGGTTAATGATGCCACCGTGTGTCCACTGCTTAAGCCAGAAGTCCTAGACAGCAGGTTCCCTGAGGATAGGGACCCTCTCTCTGTCCCATACCATGCTGTCTCCCCAGAACAGCACCTACCACTGAGGAGGTCCTCTGTAAACACCTGGTGATTTCATGCTACACTCCTCCCTCCCTTGACCATCTTGTCATTTTATGGTATAATCACTAGGGTCTGGTGGAATGTCTTCACACAGTCTTGCTCCTCCATCCCCACATTACCACATTTAACCCTCTCCCTCATATCAGTGACTTTAACAGCCTCTCCCCAGCAGGGTATAACCCAGTGTCAATCCAGTTACTCTTTGGCTTTACAACCCAGTCCTTCACTTGCTGTCCGCAGCTCTTCCCAGTCAGGACAGGACTAGATCTTCTGTTTTATCTCTAACCAGCTGGCCACTGTCCCCACACCCTAGCCACAGTCAGCTTCTTAAAGTTCCCTACGTAGACTGTCTTTCATGACTCTGGGCGTTTGCATACACTGTTTCCTCTTCATAGAATGCTCGTTTTCTCCATACTGTTAAACTTTGAAACCCAAAGTACTTGTCACCATCTCTCTGAAGGCTTCCCCAAATTTTCTCAGGCACCAAGCCTTTAGGCCCCTGCATTCCCACAGCCTGCTGCTCAGGCCATGACCCTGTCACACCATGTGGTCACTTTGCCTCCCAAAGGCAGGTCTTTGATGGCTCCATCTTGAAGTCCCAAGTGCCCAGCATAGGGACCCACTGCAGAAGTTTGGTGGGTGTTTGAAAGGTGAACAGATGAATCCACTGGCTTTCACTCCCCTGGAGCTTTGCCCCTTCCCCTGTGCCCTTCTGAATCCTGTCATTGTCACACCTGGCCTCCATTCTACCCTGTGGGAGACATTCTACTCCAGCCCCCAAGGTGCTCTTTTTCAAAGTGTACCCCTGACCATGAGAAGATGTCTGGTGTTATAATTGGGCCTTTTATGTCTGTAGGATAGGGGCTGCAATGTGGGTCTCAGAGGTGTCTCCACAGTGGTGGTCAAGAAATGCCAGCTTGGGGCTGGCCATTTAGCTCAGTCGGTTAGCACGTGGTGCTGATAACACCAAGGTCCTGGGATCGATCCCTGTACCAGCTAGCAAAAAAACAGGATTAAAAAAAAGAAATGCCAGCTCGATTGACAGAATCTTCTCTGTCTTCTAGGATCCTCTGCTGCTGTGCCTGGCATGAACAACTTGGGTCCATCCAATTCCAGCTGTCCCCGAGTGTTCCCCCAGGCTGGGAATCTGATGCCAATGGGTCCTGGACACACTTCAGTTTCCTCTCTCACCTCAAACTCAGGCCAGCAGGACCGGGGTGTGGCTCAGTTCACTGGCTCCCAAAGCATGCCTCAGAGCAGCCTCTATGGCATGGCCTCTGGCATAACCCAGATGGTTGCACAGCCTCCCCCACCACAGGCCACCAATGGACATGCCCACATTCCACGGCAGACCAGCGTGGGCCAGACCGCCACGGTTTCAGCTGCCTATGGGCAGAACTCTCTGGGGAGCTCTGGCCTCTCTCAGCAGCACAATAAGGGGACCCTGAACTCTGGTTTAACTAAGCCACAGGTCCCAAGGGTGTCAGCAGCCATGGGAGGCCAGAATCCCTCATGGCAACATCAGGGAATGTCAAACTTGAGCGGCCAGACCCCAGGGAACAGCAACATAAGCCCCTTCACTGCACCTTCCAGTTTCCACATGCAGCAGGCCCACCTGAAAATGTCCAGCCCACAGTTCTCCCAGGCGATTCCCAGCAGGCCCATGGCCCCCATGAGCTCGGCAACTGCAGCAGGGTCCATGCTGCCCCCAGTGAGTGCACAGCAGAGGACCAGTGCCCCTGCCCCAGCACCACCCCAGTCGGCCCCACAGCAGGGCTTGCCTGGCCTGAGCCCAGCGGGGCCTGAGCTAGGGGCCTTCAGCCAAAACCCCACCTCACAGATGGGCAGCCGGGCGGGCCTACACTGTGCCCAGGCCTACCCTGTGCGGACTGCAGGCCAGGAGCTGCCTTTTGCCTACAGTGGGCAGCCAGGCAGCAGCGGGCTGTCCAGCGTGGCTGGACACACTGACCTGATCGACTCCCTACTGAAGAACAGGACTTCAGAGGAGTGGATGAATGATTTGGATGACCTTTTAGGGTCTCAGTAATGGAGGGACTTGTGGTGTTTTTAGTGTTCATAATCCTATATTTTTGCTCTCAGATTCAAGAAAGAGCAACTTACTTTGGACCAAAAGCCCATGGCCCAGGGAGCTGGGCAGGAAGAGCCCAAGCCCCAGCTGAGGCCCGGCCCTGGTCAGGATCTGGGGGATGTGCAGTTCCCAGGCCAGCAATTGTGGTCCATTGGGCTGGCCCCATCCCATCTGCTGGCATCATTATCTGGTGTTGGGATAGCAGAATAGGGTTCTAAAGGTGGTTTTCTGTCCACATGACCAAAAAAACAACCTTAGCAGTGAAACCCCACGATATCAAGCTTATAAAAATATCTGTGCCATCATGTTGACTTTATCCAAGATTTCTCCACTTGCCCCAGTATTGCGGACAAGTTTTTTTGGAACTTTATATAGCAGAATTATTTGAAATTTGTAGCATAGAAAAGATTTTTTTAAAAAAATTTTCAAGGTTTTTAAACAGATTAGGATAGGTGATGGTTTAAAATGATTACGTGGCATCGGAAACCTAGAGTTTCCTTTTGATTAAAGGCCTTTCTTATTTCCGCTCTTTGTCAGCTTTCAGGGGAGAAGGAGGGTCGCTGGAAAATCATATCTGTATGTACAGGCTATGACTGCATATGCCAAAAAAGAACAGGATGCTGTGAGATAGCAGTTCCGGTAACACAGATAAGGTCTAACTAGCAGCTCCTCCTCCTCCCAGAGTGCTGTTCTTCCTAGTTGTCACTCCTTCAAGAGGACCGTGCCCCCCAGGAATCCCCTCCTCCCATGCACTGGCAGCAGAACCCCAGGCCAAATGCAGAAGTTGGAGATTAGAGATTCCTGTGTCCTTGTGTGTCATGGCTCCCCATCTTCTGCAGTTTCCCTGAAAACTTGTATTTAACATGGTAGGAGTGTGGTCATTGTTTAGTTGTGCACAGATATCTTTCCTTACCCTGTCTTCATTTCCCATGACCTTTCTTTATGCCTCCCTTTCTTCCTGTTTCCAGCCAAAATGAAAAACAGTGATTTACTACATTGGAGGGGGAAAGAGAGTCATTAAAATTCCATAGGGAGCTCTCCCATGGTAAGGGATTGCAGGAAGGAGGCTGCAGGCCGGCCCAGGGGAAGGAATTCCACTGTTTGACCACTTCTGCCCCTCCCACGTCAGATGACTTGCACTTTTTGAAGAGATTGCTTTATAACACTAATACATCCTTTCTAAAGATTCAAGTAGATTTTTCTTTTAAGGTCTATGAATGAATGGACTTGACTAAGCTGAGAGTCCACAAAATAGAATATGACATGTGGGCTGTTTGTGGAAAACAAGATGGAGAGCACTTCCCCATAACGAAAGCAAAATGGTAAGTGCAGGGCGAGACCCTTTTCACAGAGAATGGTGGAGAGAAAGAATATGCTGTAAAGAGTGGCTTATTCGCAGAATGGCCTGTGGAGAAGCCACAGCCCCATTATTATGTCCCTGCAATCTCCAAACGGATCATTCAAAGAATGTCATATGTAAAGAATTGAGCCAAGGAAAATATTCATGTGAATAACCTCAGTCACTTTGAGGGAGTGAAGGGGTTGTACACGCATTGGTGATTATTTTGCACCAACAGTGCCTTTTTCATTGGGGGTACTTGGACCCTCAGATCCTCTTCTCTGATAGCCATTTGCCACCGTGGGTGGTGTTTGGGCCGTTTCCCCTTTAAACACCCTTCTTGCCTTCCCTGTGTACTCAGTTTAGCTCTCAAGGGAATGAATCAAAGCCAGTGAAGACACCATCCTCTGAGAGAGTTCCCCAATCTGATGGGGAAGAGGGTGACTTCAGCAGGTTTTCTACCAAAAATAGGGCTGAAGGCTGGTTATAGATCCTTGCTCCTCTCCGGGTCTCCCTCTGGCTGCTGCCGGCCTCCTGCCTCTGAACCCTGGGGCGCTCACCACATCCTCTGCACTCTGCCTTAGTCCTGGGGCCAGCTGCACAGACAGTGGGCTTCTCACTTGCTGCAGTGTCATAGCAATAAAATGTGACTTTTTTGGGGTCCCCCAGGGAGCTGCCCACGGCTTTATTTATGAATCTGGTTTTTGGGAGTCAGGGGAGGAGATGACTCTGCTTCCATGCACATCCCCGTCTCCCTGGAGCCACGACTCAGAAGAAAAGGGTGCTCGGACTTTTGTTATACACATTTGCTTTGTGTAAATAAATGTTTACAGTTTTATATTAAAGATGGGGTAAATGTTAGAGCTTCCAACTGTATATTTTTTACTTTTATAGATGTTAAAACTATGATCCTTTATATATGTTTTTGGGGAGCTATGATAAGTTTTATGGCAAACAGTCGGTATTGTTAACTTTTTATTGTCATCAAAAGTACATAAAAGTCCTTTTAATCCCCTTATTCTTCTATTTCCCTTAACTCTGGTATACACCAAAAAGAAATCTTTACTTTCCTTGTTTTATCATTATAAAAATAATAAAAGTATTTTGCTAGTATGGAAACTGCCTGTGTATTTGACTTCACAGGGGGTCTACTAGCAGGGGAGGTTTGGTAGTCATTCTCCTTTTGTGATTTAGCTGCTTTCTTATTGGACATTGGTGGGGTTGGTTTGGTTGAAGCCTCAGAGTAACTTCTATTATATGATGAGGGATATACTAAGTTAGAGCTAACATCACTCAGAGAAATGAGTCTCTCCCCACTCTCTGGGGCTCACTAATGACCTTGCATCTAATGCGAGGGAAGTTGGACTAGGTAACTTAGTGATATTTTAAATCCTATGTAGTTCTCATGTTTTATTTAAAATCCTTAGGTTTACCCTCAAAGTGTTTCTTTTCCAGATCCTATTTTGTTTCTTTTCAGGGTAGGGAAACCTACCTTTCTTATTGTAGGAATGGCATGTTCTGGTGCATCTACCCACTCCTGTCGGCATCACGCTGGACCTGGACTGCAGGAGTGAACAAGGCCCCTCTCACCTCGGGCCTTTTCCCTGCTCTGTTTTGCCAGGAGCAGGAAGCAGGTCAGCTTGGCAGGAGCCAGAGTCCCTAAAAGGGCAAAGAGCAGCCTTCAGGGAGGCCGGGGTAAAGAAACACCCTGTGATGGAATCAAAAAGTTAGATTACACTAATATTAAGGGGGAAACATCCGTGACAAATATGAAATGATATTCACTGCCTTGCCCTATGAGGTGCAGTAAAGGAAAAATACTTGAGACTTGTTATGAGGTCTTGGCAGAAAATGCAAATTAGTAGGGAGCTAATTCTGCTTGCCAGATGAACAAAGATGAGTAATATTCAGTGCTGGCTACAGTGTGTTGAAGAAGGCTACTGTACAGTTTTTTGTGGGAAGAAATTTTGCAGAAGGTATCAGGCTTCTTAAAATGTTCATACTGTTTGTCTAACCCAACAATTCCGATTCCGGGAAGCCATCCTTGAAAATATTCTGGGTGCAGAAAAAGGTTACTGCACAGTGCTATAGTAGTTCATAACAGTACTGCTTATAACTGCAGAAAATTAGGATAATCTAGCTGTTGTAGGATCGGTTAAACAAATTGTGGTACTTTCACTTGATGAGATAGGATGCAGTCATAAATTTTTATGAAGGTTTTGAACATAGTAACACGGAATAATGGTTTTGTTGGGGCTATTACATTGCAAGCCAGTAGAAAAGAAATCTGACTAATATAACACTAAAAATTCTCTCCCTGAAGCCCATTTTTAAGGTTACCAGGTAATTCCCAGAATCAAAGGAGGTATTGAACAGCGGGCCTCAGGAGTGGCAAGGGCCAGGTGGTTCCAGATCTCTGGAGTTCTGCCACCACCCTGTGTCTGTGTTGGGTCATCAACCAGGCTCTTGGGATGATGGGGGCGGGTTCCATAGGGACAGTTCACTCAGCATCTCTTCACAGGCACCTGCTATGGCCAGGCATTGCCCTAGGGGCAGGGAGTATGGCAGGAATAGCAACCATATAGGACAAGTCCCCTGTTCCAAGGAGCTTGCAGTTTCAGGTAAAGGAGACTTCACTCACGGTAAACAAGATGATTTCAGAGAGATAAGCGTCGGGAAGAAACTGAAGCAGGGCAATAAGAGGGGCCTGGGACCACGGAGGTGATGGGGGGCTGGCAAAGACTTCTTTAGACATGGTAGGGCAAGTCTCTAAGAAGGTGACATCTATGTGAGGCCCACATGCTGGAGAGGAGCCAGCCAGCCAGAGCTCTAGGGGAAGAAGGAACGGTAATTACAAAGGTCCTGAGGCCACATAGCATGGGAGAGGAAGTCACCTCAGAGGAAGAAGTGTGCTGTTAACAGAAGGAGGGAGGAATGCTGAGAAGGTGAAATTAACAAATTCCTGCCACGTGTTAAATTTGAAAAGCAGAGGACCCTACCATTGCATTTTGCCGATCCTCAAGGTGCCTGGGAGCTACAGCAAGCTGCAGTTACAGGCCTGGGCTGTTCTGGAACCTCTGCCAGCCCATGCAAGGCTTACCGGCCAGCCCAGTCCTGCCCTGCCCCAGGAGATGTGCAAGGTAAGTCAAGCACAAGCTCGGGATCTTGTGTTCAACCCTGGGTTGGACTGCCACGCCACTGTTAGCAGCATTATCACTAAGGCTGGCTTAAGCCTAGCTAGCTGACATGGGCCTGGAATTGGCGATGTAGCTATAAAGCTGTTGTAAGATGCAAAATGGTAGCTGCCTGTGAACTAGGTCCAAGGCGAAGGGCTGAACTTAGCTGACATATTCCAGGCATACGCCTGGCTAGCACAAGGAAGGGTGGGCAATGATGAACTGACCTTTCCTCTTTTATCTTCAAACCATTCATGCACCTGCCATTTTTGGGATGGGCTGTACTTACGCTTCAAGGATAATTTACCATCTGAATGGTTGTGGTAGCTGAGTTGCAGTTTAGTCAGTGAGTGGAGACTATATCATGAAAGTTGGAAAAAATAACTTCAGACTCCCACCCAAAGAAGAAACCAGTGTAGGGCCGGCCTGTGGCTCACTCGGTAGAGTGCGGTGCTGATAACACCAAGGCCACGGGTTCGGATCCCATATAGGGATGGCCGGTTCGCTCACTGGCTGAGCGTGGTGCTGACAACACCAAGTCGAGGGTTAAGATCCCCTTACCGGTCATCTTTAAAAAAAAAAAAAAGAAGAAGAAACCAGTGTTGCAAAGACAGAATTATATTCCCACCACTCTATCGGTGTCCTGGAATGCAATCTTCTGGAAAGGGAAACCTACATTAGGAAAAATGAGATGTCGCTTGCTGCTGCAAAAACAAATACAACAAATACTGCAGCTGCCACCAAGGGGTGGAGGCTGGGGGCTCCAGAACATGACCAAATCAGAAAATCCAGCACTGCAGGCAACACTGAGTGAGCCCTCCCCACACAGGTGGAGGTGAGAAGCAGAAGCCAAGCAGATCAGAGCAGGCCGGTCCTGGAGATGTGGCTAATATGGCTGTTAGGTGGCTACAGGGAGGCAAGGCAGAGGGCTCCAGTTTTCTTTGTACCTGGAAAACAACTTTCCAAGGTTAATGAAAGAAAAGCTGGGATTTTACATTTTTTTTTTCCTTTTTGTCTTTTTTACTGACTGGTAACGGGATCACAACCCTTGGTGTCGCGCCCACACCGCGCTCAGCCAGTGAGTGGGAACCGGTCTCCACATGGGATCCGAACCCTCGGCGGGAGCGCCGCCGCACTCCCAAGTGGCGCACTCTCCAGTGCGCCACGGGGCCGGCCCTACATTTGTAATAAGTTATGAGAAGATCTAATTACACTGTACAGCAGAAACAAATGCTTACTGACTACGGTTGTGAGGTACCCTTTTACAAGAAATGCACTTACATGCCACTTGTACAGAAAAGGGGAGTTTATTTACTTCACCTGGCCAGCGACCGTTTTCCAAAGAGCAACCAAGGAAGAGCAGCCCCGGGCCTTGGTCTTGTGGGGTTTTGAAAGGCAAAAATTATATTTTTTGGCACACAGGTTTGTTTAGGTGCACAAAGCAAGCTAGGGAGCTAGGTTATAGAGGCTAAGCATGAGCCAGTAATTAAGCATACAACTTTTTATTGTGTATGGTTTTTGTTTTTATGTAAGAATTTACTGTGTATGGCTTTTGTTTTTATGAGAAAGTTAACGGTCTTTTATGCAGAAGGGGGGTAGTTTGCAGGTGAGACAGGGCAAAATGGAGTTACTTAGGTTAAGCAAGCAATTTTTTCCCCCCCCTTTCCTTTGGCCGGTAAGGGGATCTTAACCCTTGGCTCAGTGCTGTCTGCACCACGCTCAGCCAGTGAGCGCACCGGCTATCCCTATATAGGATCCGAACCTGCGGCCTTGGTGCTACCAGCACAGTGCTGTCCTGAGTGAGCCACGGGGCTGGCCCGGTTAAGCAAGCAATTTTACAGATAGCTACGTTATGAGGGTATAGGGAGCTTTATTTTATTTTTAACTTTTTTTTAGGAAGGAATTAAATTATTGATTTATTGGTACTTAATTTGTTGTATTTAGTATGTATGACAAAGAGTTTGACTGATTGTATTTGTTTTTGAATGTAGCTAGTGAGGCCGGCCCGTGGCTCACTCGGGAGAGTGCGGTGCTGATAACACCAAGGCCCCGGGTTCGGATCCCATATAGGGATGGCCGGTTTGCTCACTGGCTGAGCGTGGTGCTGACAACACCAAGCCAAGGGTTGAGATCCCCTTACCGGTCATCTTTAAAAAAAAAAAAAAAAAAAAATGAATGTAGCTAGTGAGACAGGAAATTAGGCAGGGTTTAATAGTAACTAGGAGGAGAAGGAGGACTAGGGGACTAGAGATTGCTATTATTAAGGTTGTTAACCAAGGTGACCAGGAAAAAAGATTTTTAAACCAATTTTTATTATTACTATATGACTTTTTTTAAATGTGTTTTTTGACTAATGCAAGGCTGTTTTTAATAACACCCGAATGGTTGGTATAGAAAAAACAGGTTTTTCTAGAGCTGTATATAATCCACCTTGTTAGCTTGATTGTGTGGATTATATATGGGTGCAGCTGCTGCTGTGCATTCAGATAGGTTTAGCTTTTGCATAGGACACAATGACCACAGCAAAGAGGAAAAAATTAACTTTTTACAACATTGTTAGATTGACCACTTGATGTAAATTTTTTTATTCAAGCACTTTACATTTTTAAATTGTTATTTAATTGGAAAAACTTTAATTAACTAGGAATAGAAAGCACCTTTTTAAATTTAATAAACTGAATTTATAAAAATCCCACAGCTAACATTATACTTAATGGTGAAAAACTGGGTGCTTTTTTTATAAACTGAGGAATAAGGCAAGCATGCCTATTTTTGCCATTTTTATGCAGCATTGTATGGGGCCAGCATTGTATGCTAGCTAGTTTGCTTATGACAAAGAAGGAGGTTTAGATTGGAAAGGAACAAGTAAAACTGTTTTTATTCATAAATGGTATGGTTTTGTGTGTAGAAAATACTGAGGAATTTATACAAAAAGCTACTAGA